TCTCTCTCTCTCTCTCTCTCTCTCTCTCACACACACACACACACACACACACACACACACACACACACACACACACACACACACACAAAACACACTCGCACACAAAACAAACCGAAAGAAGAAAGTAAACTTAGGAAACTAAGCAAAAGATTGTGCCACCTTCCCCCCTGCCGCCCGCTTCTCCTAAGCCACTCCTTTTCCACCTCCCCCATCTCTCAATCTCTCTCTCCCCATCTCTCTCTCCCTTCCCTCCGCCCTCTCTACCACATAAGACTGTCTGCCTCTCTCTCTCTCTTCTCCATGTGGCACGATTTCGTGACCTTCACCTATTCCTCCGCCTTCCCCTCTCTCTCTCTCTCTCTCTCTCTCTCTCTCTCTCTCTCTCGGGCCTATCTCTATCTCCCCTCCCTCCGCCCTTTCTCTCACATAAGACTCTCTGCCTCTCTCTCTCTCTCTCTCCCACGTGGCACGATCTCGCAACTTTAACCCCCCTCTTCCACCCAGACCTTCCTCTAATCCTCCCCCCCCCCTCTCTCTCTCTCTCTCACACACACACACACATACACACACACACACACGCACACACACACAAACGCACACACGCACACGCACGCACACGCAAGACCAAAACACGATAAGGAAACGATCAAGCAGCCACGTGATCTTGAGCGTTCGCCTTTCCCCCCGCTTTCCTCCTAACCCTCTCGCCTCCCCCTCCCAGCCCCCCTCTCTCACACACACAAAAAATGAAAAAGAAAAAAGGGCAACGAAAAAGACGATCCTGCCTTCTAACCATGGCTACGCCGGACCCGGACCCGGACATTTCCAGACATGGATCCGGACCTGTTACAGACTCCGCCAGGGCTAGACCCCAGGTCTATTTTGTTGCTGTTTTTGCTACATGTGACTTGCTCCAATTTTCGGCATTCGGAATCCAAGACTTCGACTTAGTGTCCTTGCCACTGTGTCTGCGTCCGACCCTCAGTCATGTCGAGTGAGTGAGTGTGTGTGTGTGCTCTCACTCTCTCCCTCTCTCTCCCCTCTCCCTTGGCTCTCCCTGTCTCCCTCAGCCTCGCGCTCATTACACTGGTATCGGAGCGGTTCGAACCCGCCCGACCCACCCTGCTTCGTCGCCGTGCCACGTCATGATCTTCGAGAACGTCGTCGATGTGCCACGTCATCATCGTCATCGTCGAAATCGTCGTCATCACGCCATGTCATCGTCGTCGCCGTGCTCGTCGTCCTCGTCGTTGCGCCACGTCATCCTCGTCGTTGCCGTCGCTGTTCCACGGCGCAGATAAGTAATCGACGACAATTCTCTTTTTTTTATTCTTTTCTTCTTCTTCTTCTTCTTCTTCTTCTTCTTCTTCCAATTATCTTCTTCTTCTTCTTCCAATTATCTTCTTCTTCTTCTTCCAATTATCTTCTTCTTCTCGTTCTTTCCCTCTTCTTCTTCTTCTTCTTCTTGTCGCGACTCCGATCCCGCTCCCCCCCCGACTCCGATCCTCCTCCCGTGCAACCTTCCCCC